GTTCTATACGATATAAGTCATTTTCATGAAAAATATTTTCCATCAAAGGGAAAAAAATTAACTTCCCTCACTTATGAGCAGAATTCATTTTTCTATTTTACTTGCTTCAAACATCTAGATATTATTATTAGTCTCTAGTACCCAAAATATCTTATGAAATTACTCTCTGCTCATTTTTAAAAAAAAATTATTTTACAAAAAAAAACAGTGTGTAATCTCAAATCCCACACACCCCAGCACTATTTAAAACAAGAACTTATTACTGGAATAATCGGTGGGCCCTCCCATAAATATGTCAAATATGAAAATATCTATATCTATATTATATTAAAAGGAGAGTAGTGAAGCATGTGGTTAAGCCAAGTGGCAAGCTAAAATGAAGCCACTTGGCAATTTTAGGACAACAATAATAATTAGAAATTATAAATGGAAACACAATTAATGGAAGTAATTGAATGAAATAGATCTTATACATAATCTAAATAGATCTTAGATAAATCTAATCTATATATCTATATTTATATTTATATATTGATCCGCTCATAGATTTTCTTCTATATTAGCTAGAAATATGGAGGTAAAAAATTAAAAAATATAGAAAAACATAAATTGAGATAACCTATGACTACTTATACTTTGGAGTAAGTTACAATACAGAAAAAAAAAACTAAAATTAAGTTAAGATATTAAAGATTTAATGACTTTAAAAATAAAAAAAATTCAAACAGCGAAATAAGATCTTACATAAAATATAAAAATTTATTTATAAGGTAAGAAAAAATTAAATAATCAGTAAATATTATTTTGATAACAAGAGTAATAAAGTCATATTAGTATTGACAAATCGGGCAAATGAATATTTTCTACGTATTAATATTTTTTATATTAAATATTTAAACTTAATAAGAACAAATCTTAACATGGTAAAAAATAGATATTAAATTCACACAAGCTGATGAAAAGCCACATGACAATGTAATAAAATTAAGTATTGAACAATATAACACCAAAATTAAGGAACAATCTATATTATATTAAAAGGAGAGTAGTGAAGCATGTGGTTAAGCCAAGTAGCAAGTTAAAATGAAGCCACTTGGCAATTTTAGGACAACAATAATAATTAGAAATTATAAATGGANGGACGATGAGTGAAGACTCGATCACAGTTCTTGCACTTTACTATGTAAACTTCTTCATTTTCTTCTACCACATTAAAGGTTTCCCAAATATATGAGCGCACTCTAGAATCACCGGGCATGATTTAACTTGAATTAAAAATTTGAGAAATGAGAGATGAGTGAAGACTTGAATACTTTAATTTGAGTTTTAGAAATGAGAGAGATTGATGATTTTGTTAGAAAAATGAAAGAATCAGGGGGTATTTATAGTTGAAATAGGAAAAAAGTATAATTATAAAAAGTTTGGGGTTAAAACAAAGTTGGGGGGGGGGGGAGGGGTTAAATGGCTATTTTATAAATAGCTAACGACTATTTTGGCAGGTAAAAGACCATTTTTTAAATGCCATAACGGCTAGAAACGGCCATATTTGGTAGGCTTTTTAAAAAAAATAGCCGTTGGGCCACTTTAGGACCGGTCGAACCGGCCCATTTACCAGCCGGTCCCAGGCCCAAACAGTCGCGGTCTCTCGGGCCTCAATCATGGGACCGGCCCACTTCCAGGCCCACCCCCACTTGGTCCTGATTCTATCTTGTTAGGCCCGTTTAGGCCCACCCGCCATTTGGGCTCGCGGGCCTGGGCCTGGGCAAGGCTAACCGGCCCACATGCCACCCTTAATATAGTTGAACTAGAGAAGAAATAGTATACAAATAAACCATTTTGGTATACACTTCATTCCAACATATACTATTACAGTACAATATAATAGTATATTATTACAATCTGGTCATTTTTAAACTTTTCCATTGGGTCCTTTTTTTTTAAATTTTGGTTGAAATTAAGTTGAGCTATCAAAGAAGACAGATTTGTACTGTATAACAAAATAATATATTGTATATTGTATTGGCATACAATAATTAATTCAAGAGTATTTAATTAACTAGTATACTGCTAATTTTTTTTTGAAGGTATGAACCAATCTTCTATATACCAAATAGCATATTATCCATTTTGGTTATTCAATAGTGCATAACTTATTGTGTTGAACTGGCGAAGAACAATTTGTACTGTATACCAAAATGATATACTACATACGATTTTGTATAAAAAAAGGAAATAATAAAAAATAGTGAAAACAATAAATGAAATTAGAAAAGGAACAGAACTAAAGAAAAAAAAGGAGTTAAATGAAAAATAGAAAAGCAACAAGAAATAAAGGAAAAAAATAAAGAAGGAGTCAAAATTAAGTGTGAAATAAGTTATGGTAAAAATAACAATAATACGATTTGGACAAAAATAAATGAATAGGAAAAGAGAAAAAATAAAAATAAAAGAAGAAACTGAAAAAAAAAGGAAAAAAAGGAAAAATGAAAAGAAGCGTAGAAATAAAAAAAGAATTGGAGAAAAAAGAGAAATATTTACTACAAAAACTAATATGGGTAGGAATTATAATTAGTTTGATGGGTAGAAAAACAAATGGGTAGGTAAGGGTAAATAATTTTGTTTTTATGGGTAACTTCGTCATTCACCCTTATATGATATCGTTGTCGAGATAATAAAATATAGCAAGAAGGGTGAAAGACAAAATGTGATTTAAAAATGAGCTGAAGTTTAAGGATACGTTAAGGTACATTATAAAGATATTTTGGAGATTTTGGAATGTTGAAATTTAATTATCTCCATTTGAGACAGAAATGTAAACTAACTTACTTTGGGACCTTAGCTTACAGGTTAAGAAGATTACTTAGCCTTAATAAAGATTAAAAGAAAGACTTCCTACGAGCCACATACATTTTAAAGGATCTTCCACAAATTAAAAACACTAAACTAAAACCATCTTTATCCATCAATTTTCATAAACAAATATCTTTAAAAGGGCAGAATTTTTCGAAGAATATAGGTAAATATTTCTTAATAGATTGTCAAATTCAAATTAGAATTCTTAAAGTTATGCTTAAAAATATATAGAAGTTAAAATGGGAGTCCACATGTTTTTCCAAATAAGGTGGTGTTTTTTCTTTCTTAATTTTTTTGTGAAAAGTTTTTTTTAAATACTGTGGAAAATGATTTCTTAGTTTTTTTTTCAAACTTACTTTGAAAATGTTTTTCTTAAGCCGCGGTCTATCGAAAACAATCTATCTATTTTACACAAGGTAGGGATAAGGTCTGCATACACTTCACCCTCCACAAACCCCACTTATGAGATCACACTGAATATGTTGTTATTATTGTATTGCATAAAAAGAATTGCAAAAATGTGTTTTTGTAAGTTTTTGAAATAAAATTCTAAAAAAGAGAGAACATTTTTGATGAAATGTTAGAGGGTGTTTTGTTACAAGAAAAATTCAGCTACACACAAAACGCTAACAAGTCTATAAAAAACAAAATTATCCAAACATGTTTTTCCTATTGTACAATTTTTCTTTCCAAAGAATTTGTCCAAATTGCTAGGGTGGGCGTTCGGCCAATTCGGTTTGGATTTTCGATTTTCGGATTGAAGAAATGACAATCCAAATCGAATCCAAAAAAACTTCGGATTGGATCAGATTTTTTAAGTTTGGATTCGGATTAATCGGTTTGCATATTTTGAATTTTCGGTTTTGAGTTTATAAGTTGAGATATTTCTTCTTTCTATAATAATGAACATCCAATTGAAGAACTCATGTTAAATTGCCTAAAACGTTCCTCATTTTCACCCGCAATTATCCAAATAAAGTATTCAAGTAATAAAATTATCATAAAGGAAATACAACAAAGAAATTAGTAAGGCCGATAAGAGGTAACATTAGTAAAATCATGTCCAAATAAAAAGTATTCTGATAGTAACTTAGTAATTAATATTGAATATATGGATTATATCTAATAGTTAGGATATTGGACTTGTTACAATTGGCATACGAATAATGGACTACATATATATTATAAAAATTTTGGATTTTCGGATATTTAAAAAATAGAAGTACCAAATTCAACATCCAATCCGAAATCCTACAATTTTAAAAATTAAATTTGAAATCTAATCCATAATCCAAACCAAAAAATCAAACAATTCGAATTTTAAATTTCGGGTTTGCCCAAATTACGGGGAAAGATTCACGAATACCTAAAAAATCTAAAATATTTACCCATCTCTACCTAAATCAAAATATTTACGAGTCCTACTCATTAATATATTCATCATATAAAGGTATAAAACCCATATTTTTTTGTAAGTACTGCAGTCTTGTAAAACTAATGAATATTTTAATATTTTGTTGGAAAACCAATTCAAAGTTGTAGTAGGATACCTTAATTATTTAGGATTTGATTTATTTAATTCATGTCTAAATAGGATTTGTAGTTAGAATAGATATAGGAATATGCTTTCTTGTTTCTAGGTTTCATACTATTATAAATAAGGGTATTGATAGCTTATTTTATGTGTGGAAGAAATAAAGAAGTGTGGAGACCTTTCAGAGAGATTTATAAATAAAATAATTTCCTTCATATTTAGATCAGAATTGAGGAAAATGATACTTAATTAATGGTAATTAGAACAGCAATATTCTATTATTCTTTTGTCGTGAGTTTGATCTGCTACCTCTCTGCCATTTTATTTGATATAAGAACGTATCAGTTAAAATCCAGCAATAACGAAGAAGAATATGATATTAATGATTTTAAATGTTAAACTTGATGATAAAATTTCACATCAAAGTTAGAAATACTGAATTATTACGTAAATTTTATTTTATTTTTTAAGAAAGTGAAACTTTTTCTTTGGTTGAAAAGATATTCAAACAGATTTTTTCCAACAATTTTTGAAACAAGCGCAACTTTAATTCTGAAAATTGGGAAGTTTTGGAATTGAAGCATAAAAGAAACTGGAAATGGACAATGACAAGTCACAACCACATAACAATGATTAAAAAAAGAGAGAAAGAAACATGGCTAGTGGCTAGTATTACAATTCTGCAATGTCATAATCTATGATATGTCAGCACAATTATAGTTCCCTAATTATAACAAATTCTAATAAAATGGGATGACAACTATTGCCAGAGAAACTTTTCTGTTCTTATTCCATTTGTAAACGAATCAACTATTCAACAAATAAAAAGTAGTTACACAATTTTTTGAGTTTTTAATCTCTGATTTCTTTTTTGGGTATGAATATAATGAATATTGATAAGACTTCAAGTCCAATAAGCAATTCCCCAGCCAAGTTAGCAGTGTGAAATAGCAAATAAAAGCTGCGCCGTCTTCGACTACCTGTACAAGCAAAATCCAATTAATCTACACATTACCATCACTATGTGCTGAAGAGTATAATAACACATTTCAGCAGCCATGCACGTTTCACAGCCAAATTTGAAAATTAGTTGTTGTCAAAGACAGCCATGACAGTATTTATCACAATATTAACACATCGAATTAACAAGTCCATTTCAAAGCTGGTTCATGTCGTGATCACTAATTCACTACATGTCTGTTAAATATAAACGCAAGGTATCTCCCGTCCCAGATGGAACCTAGGTAGGTCTAAAGACATCCAAAGACAAAACTATTGTATCAATGGCACAAAGTTATAGGACCTTCATAATCAAGCTGTTCTTGCCCGAATCGGGTCTCTATGTCAAGTTTTATATCAAGATCGCAACATGTGCCTGCATGTCCGGTAGCACAACCAGGGGCGGAGCTAGCTCTTCGCCCATGGGTTCGGCTGAACCCAATAGCTTTGGTTCAACCTCGGTATTTGTCTGAAGAAACCTATTGAATATGAACAAATTATAAATTTAGAATCTAGTAACTTAAAAGGACCAGAATCGCAAACCCATAAACTTCAATTCTTGGCTCCACCTCTGAGCACAACCAAGGGCCGGTCGATTGATGCATGTCCAGTAATAAAGGGCAGATCAAGAGAGGAACTTTTTTTGATCGGTAGGCGAAGCAAGAGAAAACTTTGTAGCAAAGAGGGTATAAAGTGGTAGTACTAGTTTCTGAAACTAACTAGATGTGGTGAAGGTTTGTCATAACAACTAGAGAATCAAATTCAGTGGGAATATGTATGTGGAAAATGTCAAAGTGGATTCTTCCATTTGTCAAGTTTATCTACTCATATTAAGCCATTGCTGATGTAAGAAAAGGCTTCAAATGGGCTCCATCAAGTTTAAAAGTCACACAGCCAACTTTGCTGCTAAAAGAATCCTACTCTGTGTTACACCTTTTCAAGAATTTGCCAACCAAAAATTTCCATCATGCCAGATCACTTCTTTATAAGCACATACTTTTATCTACAAGGAAACCAAAATAAATACTATCCCCCCAACCCGACCTACAAGAAAAAGAAATAAATAAATAAGGAAAGAGAACAAGCACACACACTACGCACAAAAAAGCAGCCTGAGATAGCTAGATGAAGAGATCAAAGCACCAAATGCCACATCAAAAAGCACATACAACTCATAATTTTGTGCCCCCCTCCCCACTTTTCTCCTAATACGCGGGCCACTTTCTGCGCCTTGGCAAAATTACATTGGTTGTTCTATCAAAACCAAGAATTTCACTTGTAGTTTGGATAAGTAGAAGGAATATATTATAGTATTAAATAGGGAAAAAAGTGGTGGAAGTAAAAAGAGAGGCAACTTAGAATTGACTCGAGGACGATAGGTGACGCCAATATTGACTGCTCCACATCAGATTGATGCAACAAATACTCTATTTGAGAATAATGGTAAAAAAGAAAGACACAAGATGTCATAATCAGATATAGGCTTCACCAGCAAATACAAAAACCAATGAGCCTTTCCACTTGGCAATTATATTCAATGTGAAAAATAATTCAGAATATGTTGATAGATGGACTCAGAGAGGGTGGCTTTCTTTTCCAATACAAGCCAATATGGACTTTTGTCTTCGTGAAGATGATGGGAATTTTGTAAAAATGAGATTCATATGCATGATTGCTAGTGGAAATAAGATAAGGGTGATGAGACCCATTACCATATCTTCAATAAAGAATTGATACAATGAAAGGTATCCTAGAAAGTAGGTGATTAACAGTTGACTTGGGCAGCCTGGTGCACAAGGCATCCAGCGTTCACGCAGGATCCAGGGAAGAGCCGCACCCCAAGAAGGGGTGTGATGTGGACAGCCTACCCTAATGCAAGCAATAGTGGCCGCTTCCTCGGTTCGAACCAGTGACCTATAGGTCACACGAAGACAACTTTACCGTTGCTCCAAGGCTGCTCTTCGTGATCAATTATGATTAACAATTGACTATTGCTAGGATAGTATAAGGTGGGATTTCAGCTTACAAATTGCAAAATTAATAAAAACAACTTTGAAGCAGGCATCATATATAGTTAAATTTAAATCAGACTGATTAATTAAGGGAATAATGAAAGCATAAATAAGGAGAAAAATGAGGTTGACAGTCTTTCTTACCTTTAATACCTATCTATCAGCAAAAGTTGTTGACAAAATTGAATCATCTCTAATCTACTAGTATCCCCATATTTGATCTATTGTACCGCTTTCAGTCTTGTATCAAGAAAACCAGAATAAGCAGAAGAAAAGCAGAAATAGACAAGGCCTGGAACAAACAAAAAAAGGATAGCATTAGAAGAGTATATATAATATGCAAGATTCAACAATTCAGAAAAAGAATGAAAACAAGTCTTGAAATTACCACAATTATGCTGTAATTAAAAGGACTTAATGAAAATAATGTAATGCGCGATATATGAAGCAAGATGGAAATAACAGATTCCTTACGTTTTTCTTGGCAGCTGAATAATCCATACGCGGAAGGAATCCTTGTAACCCGATGTTATAAACTGGAGTTCCATCGGGATAGTAGAGGCCATAATTCCTCTCTGATGCTGGACCAGGCTTTAGATTTTCATTAAAGAGCGCAAACACATAAATATCAATGGGCTCGGATGGCTTTGCTGGAGTTCCTTGATTTTGTTGTATACGCCGAAACAAGTTACCATTATATTGTGCAGCATTTTCAGGTGTTGCTCCAAACTCATTTGGGTCGCCCTTAGATGGCCACCCTGTCTCAGAAACTTTAACTTGAATGTCTGAGTAGCCCATTGCCTTAACCGCTGAATGAACTGCATCAATTTGTGCATACAACATGTTGTCATACTTTAAATTTGTGATTGGGTCAATCGTACCAGCATTAGGCCGGAAAAGTACATAATCAAGTGGGACTTGATCGGGGCTGTCTTTGTATGCAAAGAATGGATAGGCATTTATAAGAAATGGCGACTTGGTTTGGGCATGGAAATTGAGAATGCCATGAATGTATTCAGCAAGATCTTGTCGAAATGAACCAGAGGAAGGCGGAAAAGAGTTGCCCAAGATCCCAGCCGAGTGGGCGTGTGCAACATATATATCGTTGCTAAGGCCAAGATTAACAAGAGCCCGATATACACCTTGCATTGCCGGGAGGAGGTTATTCATCATCTGTGTATCGTTCCCCGTTAAGATCTCGTTCCCAACAGTAATACAAGTGATTTTAGTCTGAGTATGGTAAGGTTGAACATGCGATTGAATCCAAGCCTGAGCTTGTTGAGGATCAGTCATTCTTTGTAGGTACTCATTCCCAAGTCCAATAACGAATTCCACATCCGTGTTAGCAAATGCGCTTAACACGTTTGGATCAGCGTCATAAAGTTTTACTCTCGTAACATTGATAGATCTGAGGAGATAGGAAACTCGCGACGGTGTTGGCAAATTATTGGCAATTTGGCCATAGTTAATTCCAATTCCAAGGCTGAGGCTACTTGCAAATAAATCTGATCAAACAGTGTTGAAATAACAGTAAATACCTTATAGTATGTGAAAAACACATCCATTCAACAATTAAGAAACTACCTACCAGTAGAAAATTAAATATCCACCTATACTTAACCAAGAAAATCAGAGCAAAAACTCAGTTTTTTCAAACAAATGACTATAACCATCTTCTACTGATAATTTCAATTATATATTCAATAACTCAACCCAATAAAGAAACACAAATTCCCTATTCCTTAGGATCAAGAATCCACCTTCACTAAATCTGTTTATAAACACTTAGCAACAACTTCATATTCACATTAGTTAAAGGCCAAGCAATACTACAATTCCCATCAAGTAAACAAGAAACCAACTTAAAAAGACTGAATCTTTATAACCAATGGCAGTTCTTACCTCACCCAAGAACCAAAGTAGCATAAAAACAAACTAGTTGATGAAAAGGACATACAAGATTTGTACAAAAAAGGAAGTGACCTGAAAGAGTAAGGAGGAGGAGAAGAAGAGGCTTGAGGAAGTTGAAGAGGATGGCCATTTCCCCCTTTGCCAGCCTAGCTAAATCTCAGCCACCACGGCTCTTTAATGATGTATATGTATCCTTATTTATACTACATGCAAAAACTTCCTTTATTTCTCATTTCCCTTTTTCATTGTTACTTGTTAGTACTAGTATATAGTATTTTCTTATTAAGCCTATTTAAAAGGAAAATATACTTTTATTTTTTTAAGGGGAGCCTCGGCAATACTGGTAAAGTTACTTTCACTCTTAATGTGATCGGGAGGTCACATGTTTGAGCCGTACAAACAGCCTCTTGCTGCCTTGCATAATAAGGTTGGGTGCAATAGACCCTTGTAGTTCGAAGAAGATTAGTGCACCAAACTGACCTTTTATGACATACCTGTCTTCTTGCCTAGTATAAATTCAAACGAAGAATATCTTATTATATATTATTTTTTATATAGGTGTTGTCTGGTCTAACTAAAGCCATCTAAATTTGTTAAACTTGCAAGTACATGTTACTAAAATAATTTATTTAGCAAAGTTGAAGAAGATGGACTCATCAAATACTAACTGTAAATTAACTTTAAATTATTATACTGCTACTTTCGTGTCTCGACCACTTGACCATTCATTTATGAACATAAAACGATAAGTATATTATACAGCTATTATATAGTATTATAGCTAGCAGCTACGCACAAATTATTTTGGTGAAATCTATGTGAAGATTTTTTGTGACTATTTCCAGTCGCTTTCTTACACGTAAGTTCTCTGTTTCCTTTCTGTATCAGGGCCGTTATGTAGTTGACACGTGAAATTTACCGACATAACTTTCTTATTTTCAAAGAGACCCTTGAAATTTTTCATTATTACATTTTGGCTGCAATGGACTTTCTCTTTTGTTTCCTAAAGTACAATAAACATTTCCCATCAATTACCGCGTGATTAAAAGAAAACTTCCCGTTTTATGCATTTTTCTTTTGGTCCAAATTATTTAGTGGAGATACTGTTCTTTCTAGTTCGGAGATGAGCTTGCTGAGGTGGATGTGCGGGCACATTAGGATAGACAAGATTAGGAATGAAGATGTTCGGAAGAAGGTGGGTATGGCCCCTGTGGATGACAAGATGCGGGAAGCAAGACTCAGATGGTTCGGACACGTGCAGAGGAGAAACCTTGATGCGCCGGTAAGAGGTGTGAGCGGTTGGCCGTGGTGGGTACGAGAAGAGGTAGAGGGAGGCCTAAGAAGTATTGGGGAGAGGTGATCAGGCAGGACATGGTACGAATGCGGATTTTCGAGGACATGGCCCTTGATAGGAAGGTCTGGAGGTCAAGCATTAGGGTTGTAGGTTAGGGGGTAGTAGAACTTTTCTTACTTCTTTCCGGGGGTGAGGCGGGGTTGGATTAGGGTTGGCCTTAGATGGCTTGCAGATACACACTATACTTGCTGTTTATCTGAGCCCCGGGCCTGGTTACTGTTATTGCATGTCATCCATCTTTTGATTGTTATGCTTCTGTTACTATTACGATTTCTATTGGAGTTACTAATGAATTGTCTTTTCTTGTTTTTCTTATTTCCATCTTTCTAAGCCGAGGGTTTATCGAAACAGCCTCTCTGCTTTATCTGGATAGGGGTAAGGTCGCGTACACATTACCCTCCCCATACCCCACTTGGTGGGATTTTACTGGGTTGTTGTTGTTGTTGTTGTTGTTGTTGTTGTTGTACTGTTCTTTCTAGTTCATTGATTTGCACATCATCTCTTTTTCTCCCGAGTGAAATAGCGAGGATGCAACTTACAGCTAGGTTAAACTGTAAAATTATTAATAATATTTTATGATAAATATAACTTACCATATTTTTTGATTAACTAGTCTTAGGGTTCGCGCTTTGCGCATGTACTCTATATCAATGAGTATAAATAATATGTTTGAGTTATAAAATAGAATTGAAAAAATATAAGCTCTTAAAAATGACAAATATTGATCCTATTTGGTCAACAAGAATATTTTTGACAGCTTAGTGATCTATTAGGGAACTAAATGTCGAGGTGATATGTATTCTAGATAGGGAACTAAAGAAAATTAAAAAAAATACAATAAATTATGTAGATAAAAGGAAAATATTCATTGTTGAGTAGAATTTAGCTATGGGTGAGTCATAGATTATCAAAAAATATCCTTTTTGCTATGAGATGAATTTCAAAGTTAATTCTTATTTTCCTTAAGTCAAATTTAATAAACATTTTTTTTACCAAAAAAAGCCATTTTCATCTTGTTGACGGAAATAAACATTACAGTAAATTAAGATATTGTGTTGGAAACAAAGTATTTTAATTTAGTATTTTCTGATATGTATTCTAGATAAAATTTTAATGATTTTAAAGTCCTAAATATAAGGACTTCTTACTAAATTCAAATAAGGAAAGATTTAAAAATAATAAATTTGATTTAATTCAAACACCTAAATATTAGCTAGGAGAATAATCAAATGACTATTTTGTCAAGTGTGAACTCTATTTTAAAAGGGTAAAAAAGGCGAATGACATTTCGCTAAGGGCGTTCATGCTTTTAATATAGTAATAGATAATAGATAATAGATAATAGATATGAATAATATTGAGAACAATAGCTTCTACACAAATTATACTTATATGCAACTTGATCATTGTGTGAAATTCACCAACGGATCATGTAATGCTAAAGCATAGTAACTCCATTTCCATATCTTTTAGTAAATGTCCTAAAATCTTGTCTAAAAATGTGCTTTTTATTTACTTTATTGTGCTAGCAATTATGCACAATTTGTTAAAATGTGTTGAACTCAAAATTTGTAGTGATTATTCAGCATAACAGAAAAGTGGACTTAACAATTAGCAAGTTTAAAGACAAATTGAAAAGTGGACTTAACAATTAATGAGTTTAAAGACAAACTGGTGAGGTCAATTCGATTAAATGGTACAAGACTATGTCGATACCAAATGGATTATCATAATATGGTATCAGAGTTGTAGAGATGGACGAATATTAAGAGGTAGAATAAAAGTGTTAGGGAAAATTTAGGATTTTAATTTTCATTCATTAAATTAACCAGTTCAAATTTAATCGAGCTAATTGAATTGTAACGTTGTATCAACCTCCTAAATATTGAAAACATACTAATAACACATTTATTGTCTCATCTCCTTTAAAAGGAACACACAAATATACTTCCGAACTTTGGTGTATGAATTACTTAGGTGTAATTGGGAAATGATGTCAAATATATACATGGAATGATATCTTTTGATTAGTATTTAGTGTTACTTTTTCATTATCTAGGAGGTAAAAGTACATCATTATCCACTATCATAAGTACTATTTAGAAGTAATATCGTTATTTCTACCTCAAAATATGAAATGATTTCCTTATTTAGTCACATTTTCGGAGAAGTTTTGTAAATTAAGAAAAAAGGAAAAATCTTTTTAATATCTTGCGATCAATTTTAAAATGCTTCGTACATTGAATAAGAAGACAAACAGCCTAGTTTAGACCTAGTTTAGTCAACGGTCAATGGAATTTCAACAGAGTATCAGTTCTTTAGTAGTAACTAGTATTAGTACCCGCGCGATGCGCGGACATAAATCATGTTAAATTGTGATGCATGTTGTTTGAATCATGTGCAAATAACCTTAAAATATAAACATCTCATATAAAAATTATATAACATTAGATATTAATTATGAAGTAGGATATGAAATTACTGTTCAAATCTCGTACAGCATAACCTATTTTTTTTTTATATTTGTAGCAATCTAAGCCCTTTATTTCAGTCTTGCATTTCGTTTTGCTATCAATATTAAAGAATACTAAACATATCATGTTGTGATCTGTCTTGGTTGAGCACAATAGATCATATTATTTTAACAAACTTCTTACTACCACTTTGTTTTTATCTAAAAGTTAAATATGTCTTATTCATCACATTACTTGTCACGACCCGGATTTCCACCCTCGGGGGCCGTGATGGCGCCTACTAACGGGAGCTAGGCAAGCCAATTAACAACTACCTCTCTTAACGAACTCTGACAATATTAGGAACAATAAAACATTTAATAAATACGCGGAAGTCTCAATATGATTAACTGAAAGAAATGCGGAAGTTTAACAAAAATCCTCTACCCAAGACTGGTGTTACTAACTCACGAACGTCTACAGAATACTACATACAAAGTCTGAACAAAATACAATACTGTTTGCTTCGGTACAAGTGATAACAAACTGTATAAAACAGAAGGGACCCGGGCCTGCGGTCGTCAGCAAGGCTACCTCGAATGTCCCTGGGCTGAGAGCTCGTTCCCAAAATGCTGCTGCTACTCGAATGCTGCTCCAACACCTGGATCTGTGCAAAAAGATGCACAGAGTGTAGCATCAGCACAACCGACCCCATGTGCTGGTAAGTGTCTAGCCTAACCCCGGCGAAGTAGTGACGAGGCTAGACCGGACACCACATAAACCTGTGCAGTTATAAATATACAACGGAAACAAAATACCAAACAACTAGCAATATGGGAGGGGGAAACATGCTGTGGGGAGATAACAATAGTAACAGTAATTCCGAGTAACAAACTAAAGCAGCTTAGATTCACAATGAACAAGGAAAACAATACTCAATATAAACACATGGTATCAATAACTGTTGCGGCGTGCAACCCAGTCCACAATTTACCATTGTTGCGGCGTGCAACCCGATCCACAAATACCACTGTTGCGGCGTGCAACCCGATCCACAAATACCACTGTTGCAGCGTGCAACCCGACCCACACCATTTATCATGTATCATTGTTGCGGCGCGCAACCCGATCCTCACATATTATTGTTGCGGCGTGCAACCCGATCCTCAATATCTTTGTTGCGGCGCGCAACCGGATCCACATCATTTAACAGTCTGACTCCCCAAACAACAGTCACGATGAAGAGGCATAAACAAATAAGCAAATATTTGACAAAAATCCCAGCAAGGGAAAGAAACCAACAAGTTCAACCAAACGTCCCGGCAAGGGAATAATCAACAACGCTTCTCTTTCTTACATTTTTTATCTTATAATCCACTCTACC